TTTTTTTTCTAAAAAAATTGTGATTTGGGTGTAAATTTACAAAGCACACTCATTTTACTCTCAACAGTTCATGCACCTTTGATTTCATGGACCCATTACCATCCTCAACCATAAAAATCTCTCCTCCCCACTCCTCCCTGTGACTACCCCTTCCCCGTGCCCTTCTTATCTATGCACTCCTGTCTGTCCAGCTTTCCCTCTATGTGAATGCTACTTCTGTGATGGCTCATGGCTGATTGATCTAAGGGGTGCACCTCCCCAGGGCAGATGGGTGTATCTCCCTGGCGTAGGTATTCTGCATGTAAGTCTTTCTACTGTTGGACTGAGACACAATCCACAGAAGTGAGGCCATTTCCAGGCCCAAAGGAGTGGAGAGATTGATTTGGTATGGTAAGAAGTTATTACAAAAAAAAAAAAAAACCTCACTGCCATCAAGTCATTTCCGACTCATAGCGACCCCTCCTTGGGTTTCCAAGGTGATATCTCTATGGCGGAAGTTGATTGCCCAAGCATTTACAGGAAACAAATTTATCAGAATTTATTTTGAAGATATTTCCTAAGCACCTATTCAGTGCAAGGTGCTGGGTGCTCTGGGAGTAGCTCTTAGCTAAAGCCCAGCTCAGAGGTTAATTTGAGCCATCAAAGGTCCCAGGGAATGTGTGGGACACTAACGGGAGGGTCCCAACCTGTGGCTTGGGACCTGCTTCTTTTGTTAGCTTTCTAAGCTTCTGCTGACCTCACAAGCCCTTTCCATGGTTTTTGAGGGGCTTTGCAGAGCAGTGGAGAGCAGTGGTGGTTCAGTGGTAGAATTCTCACTTTTCAGGCAGGAGACCTGGGTTCAACTCCCAGCCAAGGCACCTCATGGGATGTTACCACCCATCTGTCAGTGGAGACTTGCATGTTGCTATGATCTGCACAGGTTTCAGCAGAGCTTCTAGACTAAGACACACTACGAAGAAAGGCCTGCTTCTGAAAAATCAGCCATATAGTCACAACCCTGGCAGAATTAAAAAGCTATTTCCTCTCACTAAAAACAAACAAACCAAAAACCCCAAAAAACAAAGTTTATGGTCCCCAGTTCCCCAGTTCTGGGTTAAAAGAGTGTCCTCTCCCTCAAAATTATGGGCATTTCTGTTATCTTTTCCCATGACCACTACAATGAAACCAAGGATTTTCTTTTTCTATCACTAATCACATCAAGGGAGCTCTGGTAGCATAGTGCCTAA